AAGAATCTGTTATTTACATATTATATTAAAATATCAGTATGCAAATTAATAATAATTCAATTATCTTGAATCAAGAAAATGTGAACAACCTATATCTAGAATTTGAAAATGATTGATCCAATTAGCTTCATTTTTTGATAACCTCTAATGGTGTATTTAAAGTTTGAAGAAAAGGGTAAGATTTGTATTTACCCAATCTGTGCTTACCAAACCCTGTTTCTAAGTACATAGTCCAAGTTTTGAGAAGTCTAACTGGTAGTATCTACCGGATACTATTCAAAACACTTGCCCATTATCCAAAGCAGGAGTAAATTATCTTCAGTATTGTGTGAGTGTGTAATTTTTTGTCTTATTTCTAAGCTAACCATAAAAGTATTTAAACTCTACAAATTTCACACTTCCTGGCTTTGTTTTTATAATTACTTGCATACAATTAAAAGGTCATATAATTGTATATTAATTGTTGAACAATTGTACTGCTCTAGGCCTTTATTCAAAATGTGAAAATAATTCAATATTGGAGAATATTGGAGACTTGAATCAGAGCCAAAAGTATTAACTGCAGAAAAAGCAGGTCATAGGAAATCATTTTTCAGATGTTCACTTGTGTTCAATGACCTTAAGATTATTGGTGCTAAGATTTTCAATGAATGTGTTAATATAGGAATTTGTTGTTAAATGTGACTAGTCAAAAATTGAGTGTTTAGTCAAAAACATATTTATTAAGTAAAACGCAAAGAGTCAGGTTAATCATAAAGAAAACTTGTAATTAAAGTATCTTTTATATCAGTGAAAAAAGGGAGAGAACAATACCAATTGAGTACTATCTATCTATAGTGAAATGGAGTAGAGAAATGCACATAGACATTGTATAAGACAATGTGCTGCAGTAGGAAAAGAGAAACCCGTGTTTTCTTGTTTTGAAAATCAAGTCTGTACACTTATGAACTATAGTTAATAGATATGACATGAATGATACTTACCATATTATAGAAGTATTAGAGTAGATGTTGCCTCTAGGTTAGATGGTACTCAACTTGGTACAACTACAGCATATCCTACTATAAAATCAATAGATATTCCTGCAAATGCTTTTGGAGATACTCACTTTTCACAGGTAATATCTGATTTTACAACAAAAACATCCAAGACTGTTTGTTATGGTGTCACTGGGAAAACCTGGGCAGACTATTTATATATTTTCTACTGACAATGGGAAAATCAAAGTTTTTGGCAAATTACTTGATGACTATTACATGCATCTCATTGAGATAGATACTCCAAATGGCACTATTCAAAATGGCTGAAAATTTCTTCCCAAATTAATCAGACATTTTCACAAATGGAGATAACATGTATAATCAAAGTATTAATACAACATTAAACTAGATTAAGTTAAATATGAATTTACCTACATTGAATGACTGCCATTTTAATATTTAATAATTTTTTATTTAAGTAGGTTGCATTATTAAATTGCAGTGATATAAAAAAGTATCATATTTAATATTAATTAACTATGTTTTACTGGGTTTGGTTTCATCCAAAATGGGTACAATTTCACAGGACCAGTGGAAAACAGCTATAAATGATATATTTGAAGGTTCAATTTCAGGCTGGAAAATGGTTAGGATGAATAAGAAGACCGTTGATATGTTCTTTAAATTTATTCATTAACATTACACAATGAATATTAAAAAAAATAATTGCTGGAACATATTAAAAGATATTACAACATTTTTGGTCTATTTTTAAATGAATAACAACAAAACTAGAGAGCCAAAGCTTAAATGGTACTTAAGGATGAACCTTAAGTATGACAAACCAATGTCTGTGTTAGGCCACATGTTATTGTATTCCCTCAAGTAGGTTTTAAGTAAGTTATAGATTATACTATAACAATAAAATAGAACAAAAGTTGTACAACAATAAATCCTGATTATGCTCCTGTTGGAACAAATCCAATATCATTGTCTAGTAATGAAGCAAAAACAGCAACTGTATCTTTAATATCTGGTGATCAAACAGAAGGCTCAGAAAATGTGGATATTACAATAATTTGTACTTCAGGTGGTGAAAAAGTTTTTAATATAAAAGTGACTGAACCCTCTAATGGAAATGGCCATCCTCACTTTATGCTACTTGTTCAAGATGAAAATAATAAAAAAGGTCTAAAGAAACACATATGTTTTGATGTTATTTCTACAAAAGGTAACAGAATTCAGATTTTTTACAATAAGTGTACTTTGTTGTATTGTAATTGTAGGAATTTCTGCTTCTCCAGAACAGTATTTGTCTTCTTCAATCATTGATCAACTCACCAAAGTACTCAAAGAAATAGAACCTTTTAAGTTTGTCCTCAAATAGTCTCAATAAATGTAATTTAGGTGGAAATTAATCAACAAATTGCCAGTTTATCATCCAAAGAATATGTATTGAGTAAATGAGTTTCTAGTTCTAAACAAGTAAGCTTAAACAACCAGCTAACGATTAAAGAACTGAACTGCCAAGCTGGGGAAATGTATTTCCTTTTATACATTTAGCAAAGCTTGGGTTCAATTGGTCAAACGATTAAAAAAGGTGAGACACAACAGTCTCATAATCCACAAGAAACAAAGAGAACAAAGACTATTACACCTAGATCATAATGATAAGGCAAACATGACATGGCCAACATTTGCCACTGCAGATTAAGTCTGCCTCATCAACATCTGGCATTGCCAAAATTATTGTTGGTTGAGTTAAAAACAATTAAGAAGATATGCTTAATTTGTATAAGCAGGTTGGTATAGGTGTAATTAATAAAAATAACACAAGTTATGTCAAATAGACATATTTCTTCCACAAATTATAAAAAAGTTGCAGATAATGAAATTTTGTAAATAGATTTCTTATAGGCATATGGAAAATAATCTATGTATAAATGGGGTTGACAGAAAATGTCCACAAAAGACAGAAAATGTCCACAAAGGCAAAGAAAACATCCTGAATAGGTAAAAGAAATGGGGTTGACAATTCAGGTTAGGGAAAGTATTAAATAACAGAAATGTAATTTAACTTTGTTGTTGTATTCTTAGGATTTGGGTTACAGTTCTGAATTTAAAAAGAAAGAAGGAGAATGGAAATCAATGAAACTGATTTTGGCTTTACCATACCTCCCTCATACTTTGATTCCAAATCAATTCAACAAAATAAAAAATGACTTAGCTGAAAGAAATAAACTTGGAGATTTTATGGAATATGTTGAAGACAATTGGATTAAGAGTCGCTTTTGGCCTCCAGCGACTTGGTCTGTTTTCAACCAAACAATCAGGACTAACAATGATTTGGAAGGATTCCATCACAGATTAAATAAAAACATAGGAGCAAACTTATCATTTTATATGACTATTGATGAGCTTAAGAGGGAAGCTGACTTAATTGCTGTATATGAAAAATTATTGAGTGAGAGGAAGATGTTGAGATTGCAAACAAAAGTTTACACAAAAATTCAAAAAAATCTTTTTTCCATTTGGGAAAACTTTAAAGTTGGTGACATTACAGCAAGTCAACTTGTTGAGATGTGTTCTACATTATACTATTAAATATTTGCAGTGTTAATTCAATATTAATTAATAATCAAAAATGTTCAAACAATTTGGAAAATATATCTCTATTGCTTGCAATTACATAGTCTTTGTTTTTCTAGATATTTATTATCTTATTAATCAAGCCAATTCTTTCCTAACCCTAACCCTACTTTTCCTAAAAACATCACAACCTTCTATATATTATATAAAGTGCTTTTTTCTACTTATTCAAAATGTTTTCTATGTCTTTGTGGACGTTTTCTGTCTAAACCTGTTATAAGACTTATATATTAAGATGCAGATTATTGTTTTGATTGTCATGATGTCAGGAAAGGAAAATTATTTATTAAACTAAAGAAAATAGATAATTATCACCAAACAAAATTTTCTCAAGAATGTGATGAAAGTATTATTAATAAGGAATCATTAATGGATAATTCAGGTGAAAGCAACACAAATCAGGTCATTTCAATTGTTACAAAATATTATTATCTCATCCTAAATCATTTTTAACAGTTGAGACTTTCTTTTCACTTTAATTCATCTGAATGACCAACCTATGAAAAAGAGTTGATTTTCCCTAAAGATAGGCACGACATGGCAAAGAGAGTTGACATAAGTCATGAGACTTCATTTGAGATGGAGAAGCAATGTGATATTATGGAAACTGAAAGAGATGATTTCAAAATTGTTGTTGGTGGCAGCACAAAGGGTAAAGACTTACTCCTACACAAAAATTGTTCATATTCTGTGAAAAGAAAAACTGAATATTCTATCACTTGGGGATGTACTCAAAGATGTGCTAAAGCTCCTTGTCCTTCATACATATTACAAAAGGGATCAAAGTTTATTGTTAAAAATGGAAATCATCTTCATAAGTTGCATAAAAATTTGGAAACTGTTCTTCAAGGAAGAATGGATTTATAGGAAATGGCGAATGGTGATAATGAAAAATCTGGTAAAAGGATAGCAGAAGACATCCTAAAATTTAAAGATAATATTGAAGACTTGCCAGAATTAGAAGTACAAGTTATTGTAATATCCACAATATTCATAGATACAAACCAAATCAGCCTCTCTTTTCAATGCAATCAATCAGCAAATAAAATCATTCTGTTGATTATACTTTATTATTCATTCTATTGTGCCATCCTTCCACACTATTATTAGTCCTTATTGATAATCTAAATATTGACCAATTCAATGGTTTCTAAGTACCATTAAAAATCCAAGTACTTTCAAAATATTCCAGCAAATCTGAAAATTTTCACTTTTCTTGCAGTTGACTCTTCAAGCTAAAAAATGTTGGAGTGATAATATCTGAAGATAAAAATACATCTTCCAGGGTAGCCAAGAGACTAAAAAGAGAATTTATTGAGAGAAAATTATAACAGTATCATATATTTAATAATGTCTTGTACCTGAGGCTTTCTATAGATTGCTTGAGTGAAGTGGAAGACAGCCATGAATTTTTGCTTCTGCATAAATCTTTGAGACAGCTTTCCACAGACTCATCTCAAAATCCATTGTTGTTTTCTCAGGCTGTGACATGAAAGTCAAGTTTCTGATGCTCTGAAAGGTGAGTTGAATAGAAGAAAAATTCTGAATGAACTATTTGAATTCATACCTTGAATGCCTTTTTATAATATTTTTTTTGTTTTAATGTTATGAAAATGAATGTCAAGGGAACATGTTTCATTGCACCATTCTTTTTCACATGACTATGAATAGACACTAGCTGGTAGAATGGATCTTTCACAATCTTAAATGTTCCATCTATAAACCAATGATTTGATTTACCAAATAAATCAAACTGATGATTTGTGACAAAAATAAGGATTCTGATGGGTGTTTTCATAAATGTCATCAATACCATAGATGCTGGCGAATTTGAACAGTTGTACAGTTTTAGAATTTGATATGTTAAATACTGATGCAGTCGTTTGGATTTCAGCCAAAAAGAAATTAGTAGTTGATTGATGAAAAGAACACGTCATGTTTGCAATATAATCAGAGAATATATTGGAAACTTGAGAATTGATGGTTTTAGCGAAAAAATTGAGTACAACAGCCTTAGCACCAAATGAAACAACAGAATTAGTCCACAAATGCTTGCCTTTACCCTCATCCTATCTGTAAGAAAAGACCCTCCTAAGTACAAAACAGCTGCTGTCTTCTTCTTCCTAATTTCAAAAGAGTTTAACAAAATATAAAATTTATTAAAAAACATGAATTGACGGATGAGCAAAATGACCTTGAACTTGTGCTAAATAAAACTTTAAACCTAACAATATTGTAAAAGTTGATAGTTTTTAATCAATACATGAGTTTTAACACTTTCTATAATTGGAAAACTACAAAGTTCACATTTATTCAAATTTTTTGAATAGGATAAACTTTTACAAGCGTCGTCTGCTAAACAAAATCTACAACATTCTATAATGTTTAGATAGAATTTTACTGAGTAAATATAATCTGATTTAATTGTTTTTCTCCCATAATTCAATTGGTATTTTTCTATGCAATAAAGCAAAAGTTTAAATTTAAAAACAATAACAACAATACAAGATAAATAGTAAATATCTTACCATCAGTATCCTCCATTATAAGTTTGCTGATGACGTAATAATTGCAAGTTGAGTACCATTGATTAGGCGATGAAATTTTCAAATATTTCGCAATTATTTTCCTTTCACAAGAGAATGTAAAAAATGTTGAATCAACGACGTATAGAATATGTCTGAAACTTGTACAAAGTACTTCCGTTTTGTAATCAACACCAAAAATCTGTAATCCAGATGAAAAATTTGCAGTTCTAACTAATGAAAATCCAACAGCAATAATTTTATGGTAATTAGTTAATTGTATAAAAATTTCGCGATTAATCGAATAACTGCAAATTGAATTCAATTGTATAGTAAAATTATTGGAAAGTGGAGAAAATTCATTTAATGCTTTAGAGAATAGGCCTAAACCTAAAGGAGATTTCAATATACAAACTACTAATGTTGTATGGTTGTTTTCTACCAAAAATATATATTTCACAAAGTTCCATTCTATTATTACCATTAATTTTATTCAATGATATTCTATCACCAATAAAATGGCAGTTGTATAATAAATGCTCCTCAGTTATAGCATCATTCTTCAAACTACAAATTTGCCTTTGCAACTCAATATTGAAATTTTCAACAGCCACTTGAACATCTTCAAATGTTTCTGATAAGAGAGAGAGAGAGAGGAATTGATATTGAAATTCAATAATATAACAATCTGTTTACCTTGAACCAATATGGATGGGAGTAAGACAACAATCTCTACAACCATATAATAATTATCCATAGAGAATATAATCCTTCCTTCCTGATTGGCATTTGTCAATGTTCCACTACAAGAAAGATAATGATCCTGATGTCTGGAATTTATTGATGATCCATCAATAATCTTTATTGGAAATTGATCGGCTACTATTTGATCATAGATTTTTAAACTACTACTCTCAGTCCTATGGACATTGATCAATGGTAGAAGTGTGAAATTGGCATTAATTATCTCTTCCCCATAAGCTTCAACAAATTCAAAGTGCAAATATTGCGTAATACTTAAGTAAAATATTACGTAACGACAAATGGGTAATGGCTGTTGACAATCCCAAATAGCGTATTCTCCTCTCAAGAACTGTTTATCATTGATAAAACAGATTTTAGAATGTAAATGCGCTTGTTCAACATTAAAACTTTGATATTCTGACACTACTCCACGTATTGTATTTATTCTTAAAACATCTAGAAAGAGGGTTAATGGATGAATTAATGGGTTAAGAGGATATTTTAAACCTACATTGATCTTCTCTATTTAGAATGGCCATTGGAAATAGTTTATACATTCCAAGCATATCTATCCAAATCCAAGGATGATCTTCCTTCTTTGTATGAAATATTCCGTTACGATCTCCAGTAGTTGCTAGATGGGCAAGTGTAAATTGCCGGTAATAGCTTGATGTCCAACTCGGTTTATTTGATAGAATGTTTTTGGATCTTTTCTCTAAATCTTTCAAATAGTTTCCAAATATTTCAATTTCACTTACAACTACATTCATATTTGAAGAATTTGAACGTAAGACAACAAATTGACCTTTGACTCCGCCTCTTTTGCATAAAATTGTATCAAACATATCACTCCCATTCGGATTATTGCCATCTTTTTCGCCGCAGTATGAATATTTTGTTGGGTTGTATTGAACAGCTGGATTTTCGTTTGTCAATTCAACATAGAATGATTTGAATTGGTGGAGATAAGTTGGCATTAGTCTGAAATCTAGGCCAAAAACATTGTAATACGCTAAAAGATTAATTGCAACCCAATAATCTTGGCCCAAACGTAACGTTACACGATTAATCTCATTTCCATCAGTTAATCTATCTAGTTCACCATTTGAAGAATATTTTGAAATGGTTAATTTCGAATGAGCGATATTACCTATAGAAAGAAGAAATAGAAGATTTTTGAAAAAATTTATTAAACGGTTAAATAATATCCTTACTGGAAAATATTTCAATTTCGCATAAATCAATATAATTTCCATATTTTGCTTCAATTATTAATTTTGAATATCTCTCCATTTTCAAATTTGTACAATGGACATTTGTGAATGAATGATTGTTCAAGAGAATGTTGTCGGAGCATATATTATCAGGAATTTGTAAATAGATCTTCAGTAATTGATAAACTGAAAGAGAGAGAGAGAGAGAGAATATTTAAAAAATAAGAGACAAATTTTAATGTTTGTACTCTGTTCATCCGTTGGCCATAAAATCACTTTATTAACAATATGAAATCCTTTCAGATTAACACCAATCTGTGTTTGTAAATCATTCAATTGCGTCAGTATTGCGCAAGAGCCGAAAGAAGCATTTCTTTGAAAGGCTATACCATCGACAATATGTTTTGGATGNGCTTCTTATCCAATGGCGGTCCAATAGTTGTATGATTTGGGCATTTTTCTTGTTGTCCATAATCTATTTATAAATAGGTCAAGAACAACAATAACAACCTAAAAAGAATACACTTACCAATAAATATTGAAAGTGTAAAAACAGTATATAATTTCCATATGGGCTGTTTCAAGTTTAGAAACACCATTTGTGTCTACAATTCAGCAGCAAATAAAAAAACTTATAATATGTTTAAAAAGTGGTCAATGAAATATGAATTAATAATGGCATAGAAAAATTTTCAAATTATTCTTTTCAATAAATGAATATAAACATTGCAGAAAGAGAGAAGAATCTTTAGTTTTAGTGATCAATATTATCATTTTGTCTTCAATAGCTCATATTCATAGAATTGTTCTCAGCAATTCAGGTCAGTTTTTAAATCAAGAGAATAGAGAGTAAATGATATTTTTACTCCAATTTGGCCATTTAAGTCTTCTTTCTAAGAAATGGGTTAGGGAAAATATGAAAGAAATTGATTTGTAATTAGGTGAGTCCAAACTTTGGGTTACGAACAATGAAACCCTTAGAAGTGGGTCCAGGGCTGGGTTAGGGTTAGGGTAAAACCACAGAACTGTGGCCGTTTTCAACAACATCCCAATTAGAGATGCTTTTAAAAAATCAACTAATAAACAGAAACAAGTATTTGGCATAGCTTAATGTAACATTAAGTACATTCTATGCCATCCCTCAACATCATTGTTAGTATGAATGCTCATTCCAAATCCAGACCAACTATCTGCAGTCCAAATTCAAGTTAAACACACAAATATTTAATAGTATAATGCAGAACACATCTCAACAAGTTGACTTGCTGTAATGTCACCAACTTTCAGTTTTTCCCAAATTTCCAAGATTTGTTTTTGAATTCTTAAATAGGTCTTTTTTTGAAATCTCACAATTTTTCTCTCATTTAACAATTTTTCATAAATTGAAATTAAGTCAGCTTCTCTTTTTAATTCATCAACAACTAAATAAAACGATAGGTTTGAACCTATATTTTTTATTCAATCTATGATGAAAACCCTCCAAATCATTGTTGGTTCTGATTGTTTGGTTGAAAACAGACCAAGTTTCTGGAGGCCAAAAGGTACCATTAATCCAGTTGTCTTCAACATACTCCATCAAATCTCCAAGTTTATTTCTTTCAGCTAAGTCATTTTTTATTTTGTTGAATTGATTTGGAATCAAAGTATAAGGGAGATATGGTAAAGCCAAAATCAGTTTCATTGATTTCCATTCTCCTTCTTTAATAATAGTTAAGAGGATTTGAGGGAAAATTTGGTCACAAGTTATTTATCTAGGTTTCAATAGTTTTTTTTGGCTGAGGACAGCAGATGATTGGAAAATTACTCATTTAAGAGTAATGTTTGCATAAGGGTTTAATATTGCACAAAACACTAAGTTTTTTGGATAAGCATGAATTCATGGATGGATAATTGTGGAAATGATCAGTCATGGGTTGGCCAGTGCATTGGGCTATATTATAAAGTGTTTTTTAAAATTTTTGGTATTCCTGTCATATATTGTTTTGCCAATAGGCAAAAGGCTAATAAATATATTACAGAATCGAAACAAATCTGGAGTTCTGGAACAGAGCAACTTGTTAGTTTAAAAACAAATCCACTTCAACAATGTTTCAAAAATTCAAATATGTTTATTGAAACTGCACTTCAATTCTATGTATATTTCACAAGATAAAGATTCTAACCCTGATTAACTACATAATTTTCAAACAAAAATAAATATTTTAAGCAGTTTTTATCATAACTTATTTGTCAATTTCTCAAATAGTACTTGTTGGCCAGGCTATAAAAGGTGCATATCAAAAGCATACTACAAGAGGGCACTATGTGCATGATCTTGCCCTTGTTATCTAACTATGGTAGGGGTAAAAACTCTGTTTTCTAAGGAAGTTAGCATTGCTTTAAATTGGCAACTAAAGGCTATTTGATAAAACATGAGGATGTTGTTTGTGGTGTGTCTGTGTTTGGAATCTTGGATGGAAAATGAATCAAGAGTACTACCTAATTGATTTTAGCAATTGTAATATACACCCTGAACATTGTGTAGAAATGGAAAAGCTGTTAAAATGCTGTTCTAAATTGCAAAAACATAAATTTGAACAAAAATAGAAATATTGGTTCTCGACTAAAAAATATTTGCTAAGGATTTTTTCAATCATCTAAAACAATCAACTTTTCTGAATGAAATATAGATGAGGAAACAGGTGAAACATTTGGAAAACTATTGAAATATTGTTCCCAATTGGAAATAATTAGGTTCAAAGCAATTATGGGAAATCCAGTTTTATAACTGCGATTTTAATGAAAAGGTTTGTTCAAAATTTTGAGATCTTTTGAAATGTTGTTCCCAAATTGATTTGTTATATATTCAATGGAATAGTAATATGGGAAGTGGATTATTCGATGTTTGTGAATGACTTCTTCATTCCTCAAATACTTAAAAAAAATTGAGCCTATTCAAATGTTATTTGACTCAAAATCAAAGCGAATTTGTGGCTAACTTATTTAAAAATTGCTTTAAAATAGAATTGATCAATCTAGCAAACAATAAAACTATGGAAGGTGGATTAGTAGATATTTGCAAAGGACTTTTAAATGCATCAAATACTCTTAACACAATGCTAGAATCATGAAAAGAATCTAATTGCAATAAAGCAGTTTGTAGGAAAATGTTCTTCATTGAAAACAGTCATTCCAGAGCATTTAGGAAAAATTCAGGTCAAATCAAGTTTTTGTGCCATGGGTTTGAAAAAATGTAGAATTGGAGAAAACTATATTTTTTTTTGATATTTTAGCCTAACTCCAACTAACCAGGACACTAGATGTTAACCAATTTATGCTTCCTAACCTTCAGTTCAGTTGTACATTAAAGTAGTCAACAGTAAAATATGGACACTGTAAATTTGGGGTCGGGTGTGAACGTACCTGGGTGCGAACGTACCCGGGTGCGAACGTACCCTGGGCGGGTGCGAACGTACCCTGGGCGGGTGCGAACGTACCTGGGTACGTTCGCACCCTATTTTTATATTTATTTTATTTTTGAATTTTTGAATAAACATGTACATTGACACCCTTTTTTCCTTCTGTTCCTTCATTATATATTTGTTAATATATTGATTTGATAGAATGCAGATATTAAATAGAATACATATCCCATCAATATTAAATTACTACTTTAAAAGAAAATGTTGTTGAAAGTGAAATAGCAGCCATTTTAATAGTGATAGTTTTATTAAATAAACTTTCACTTGGAATATTTATCCTTGCAAAAGTAAAGCTATATTTACTGAATAAATTTGGACAAAGTTCTTCTTGGAAGCTTCAACAGAAGTGAGTATTTATATCTAATCATTGAGATTGTTGATTCATGATATTTTGATGTAATATACTATCTTCAATTGTGAAAAAGCTGAATATTTTTCATAAATAAAATTTCAGCCATTTTGAATATTTGGAAAGGAAATTTATTGATAACTGGAAATATTTTTAGATAACCATCTACATTTGATTGAAGATTAAAAAATGGCTTTCAAATGTCACAATTGTCATTCAACAATTTATGGAAGGCAAAAATATTTGAAATGCAGCCTTTGTAAGAATCTTATTCATAGGAAATGCACAGGTATGTAACTCTTTAATCAGCTTTCATGTAATTATATTTTTTAACATATTCTTATAGAAACACATAACATACCAATTTGCAAACCTTGTAACAAAAGAAAATGTACTGTCATGCTCAAGAAGTTAACTAATCTGGAAATTCATCAATTCAAAGTAAATTCTGAAGAAAGCTTTATTGATGAAAGAAATAAGATTGCTGCAGTTGAGGAATCAATATTGGAGGATGAAAATCATGTTCTTTCAGAATGCCAATCAATGGACCTAGACTCTTTGGAGGAAGTTGAAGAGAATGCTGAAGAATATTGTGAATCATCCACAAAAAGTGATTTTGAGATTGTAAAAGGAGGAAGTAGAAAGGGACATGACATTTTACTGAATGATGGATATTCTTTTGTTGTTAAACATAAAACACCATCAAGTACTATTTGGGTGTGCAGTGTGAGAAGTAAGAAGAAAAGATGTGTGGCCAGAATAAGACAAAATGGAAATTTATTTCTCAAAGGCAATTTGGAACATAATCACAACAGAAAAAAGAATTTAGAAGTGGATATTAAAGTGAAAACAGATTTGAAAATTGTTTGCAGAAGTGATAATCAAACATCTGGAAGAAGCATTGCTGAAAAAGTTCTTCTATCCTATGAACCCAATGCAACTTGTCTTCCTGATATCAACTATTTGAAGAGAATGGCAAACTCAAATAGACAAAAGTTTAGGCCAGTGGAACCTAAAGTGTACAACTTTAATTTAGATGAAACATTTTTGCCTGATGAATTTTTGCAGAAAGATATTTGTGAAAATGGAGAAAGAATTTTAATCTTTGCAACAAACCATCAGCTGAATTTATTATCAAAATCCAACTGTTGGTACATTGATGGTACTTTCAAGATTGTAAAAGAACCATTTTATCAACTTGTCACTATTCACTCATTTGTTAAGAAGAGTGGTGATATGAAGCAAGTTCCTCTTGTTTTTATTTTTCTGA